ATCATCCAATGAGACCTGCACTTCCTATTCCTTTATCCTCGACACCTTTTTTCTCTCACTCTTCAATTCCATACTGCACCGTTTGTTTTTTTTAAACGCTCAAAGTACAATCAATTTGAGAGGGACAGGCTTAGAGGCTGGTGTCCATACGTTGAAGCTACAGATTACAGATTATGGAGATTACAGGCCAGACAAACCATTTAAAGTCCAAGTTACTGCTCAGTATTCTCGTTTTGTGTGAATGAGATCCTAACGAGGGAGAGTTTCACCAGTGCAGTGGAACCAGAGGACTTCCACTCACAGCGGCTTCCCTAGAGAAATTTTTGGCCCAAAATTAGTCTACTTTTTTTAATTCCTTCATAATGATACCTGAATCGAAAAAGTGATTTTTCTGTGAAAGACTATACACCAAAGAGCTACGGAATCTAATCCATCTCAAAGAGACTGGGAAATGGAGTTAAATATCTCTGTAAAAATGCACACTGGGGTCTTACGAGCTGCAAATGAAGTCATAAACCTTTACATTTTGGATTATATGGCGAAATAAAACCGCTGTCAGTGTGCAGTGAGTAGGCACCATAAAGCAGGATTGAACTGCCAATTTGAAAAACGAGAACGCAGTTTAAATTTTGTAATATAATGTTCTTTATAATATGAAATAAAAATAATTCTCCATGTGAATATTCTAGATCTTTAGCTTGAGGATTGTAAAAGCTGCCAACATCTCCAAATACAGCATGCTTTATGAAACTTAAAATGATAGAGCAGAGCACTTTTTCTGCTCACAGCCTTCCGTTATCTAATGAAAGTCTTGGACTCTGTAGCACCGACACATTCAAATAGCTTTTTACATCTCTGACTTTATATTCAACACCTCGTTGATACTTAAACGGGTTATCTTTTATCCCTGCAAAGAGTTCTTTTACCACAATTTGAGAACGGTTAGGCATGCTGTGTTCACTGACTGGAAAAATATTAGATTTCTGATTTTTCTATTGATTGGTCGCTGATCTGGGCTCATCGAGCTGAAAATTGACCTACTTGGGTCACCAGCTGAGTTTTGGATCATCTGTAGTTGTGAAAGTTCAGCTAGCTCTGTTAGAAGTTGGGTAATAAAAAACGCCCCATGCTCTGCTTCTTATGCTTTATGCACAAATCATTTGCCGATGAGTGTGTCCCTGTAGCTGTGGAAACCCCTGCTGGATCTCATTTGACACAACTATGATAAAGGGCTTTGATGTCATAGCTTTGCTACACACTCGGAGACATCACACTCAGTCATCTCTCGGATGAAAACAAGAAAGGTTCTGGTGTCGTTTGGACAGACGCCATCTTTTAATTTAACTGTATATATTTTTTTCTAGTAGGCATGCTCTGGCTCTATATGTTAATAATCCAAACTCATCTTCACATCCATCTTTTTCTGATCAACGCAGCCAGCCTTCAGGCCTCGTGAGCTGCACGTTTACTCAAAAATGATTGCACTTTATGACAGAACTGGCCAAGCAATCCAGCGTCCCCAGAAAGCAGTCATTTGGGGCCTCTGCTGCCAGCGGCATGGCTCTCACCAAAGGATTTAAGCCAGTAGCCTCCTGCAGAACATCATCACTCCCAACAAAAGTCGCCTTTCTTATTTTTGTATCATTCTGTCCAGAGACCTAAAAGCAAAATGTGTTTTGGGTGTCAGGTGAAATGCTTTGATGGGGGGTAGAATCTCTTTGTAAAGCGATGTGGTTTGTGCCTTGTTCCGAAGTTGCATTTAATACGTCAAAGATTTAATAGTAATAATATGTAGAGGCTGTCGTAGTCTTTTTCATTTATCTTTATGGCCTGACTTATTCAAAAGGAGCGCTCAGTCGGCTTCAGTACAGTTTCCCACCAATGAAACATCTTTGCACCAGGATTATTTTAACCTAAATATGATCAATTTAAACACTTCTTAAATGTTTCTCTTACAGTTCAGAAGTACAATCAAACTTTGATAACATGAGACCGGTAAGAGTTAAGAAACGATCTTCAGTCTGATGTAATTTCTTATATTAACCTAAATTTCTGTTTGGAAGTGCAGATGGATAAGTGTCTCGAAATGTCAAAGACTGTTTTTGGTTCAGCATCTTTGCTTTTTTTAAAAAACAAACTCAAGAAAAATAAAGATGCGACACGACCCTGATTGCAGATAGTTGGATTCTTTTCTCATCTGCATTGTACCATACTGTTACTCGTGTTAATCAGTCTTTTCTTACTTGCTAACATGCTGTTTTGTTTGAGCAAATGAAATAAAAGTTGCAATAAAAGATAAAAGAATGGTTTGTTAATTTGGGTGAGAATGAAAAATGGATACTTTTTTCTCCAGGGGAAAGCTTTGGATAGTAAATTTAATAAAAGACAAAACATTTTTCCTCCAAGGTGAGTCCTTGGTGATCGGTGTCAATAATCCCCACAGCCTGGCAGTCTGTGGGGGTTTGATACTGATCTGTAGCCTTCACCATGTTGTAAATGGCACAATATCTTCTTACTGTAATCCACCCCAAGGTGGTGATTTTATGTTTAGTTTTTGGTTGAACATAAAATAGATTTTTACTTTCCATCAAACTCGTATTGACTTTAAGTGCTGTAGTCTGCCGACTAGTTGTTCTTTTCCGAACAACGGGAGCTAGATCACTCCCGTCGTTATTTATCCTGTGAGTTTTTCTTCCCACCTCTATCGCTGCGTCTCAGACGCCGTCTCACTACCCCATATCAGCCATAACGCATCTGACTGCCTTTCACTGCTCAGCCAAGAACAGGAAGAGGAGGGCCGACTGATTCAAAATGGGGCGCTGTTGCGGATGCCTCATTTGAGTCCTTAGCACCTGGACTGTCATTATGAACTAAGTTCATAATGCTGCTTGGTGAGAGGTCACGTTGAGCCCTGAAACATTGAGCTGCTTTGCATTTGCCTAACTTACAGAGAAAGCCTTTTAGGAAAAAGAATAACTATTTTTAAAGATAAATCCAGTTGAATATTTGAAATGCATACTAGTAAAAGAGGATTATAAATATAAAAAGTTAATGTAGTTCACCAAAGCTTTGAACAATATTTAACTTAAGCTTACTCTCATAAAGGTGTTCCTGTATCCGGTTGTTGAAAACGTTCTTAAAAGCAAATCAACTTTTCATGTTCTAATGAAGCTTTCCTCCTTTTTTTATTCTTAAACGTTCACCTCCTCACATGGCAATATTTCCTCTGGGTGGAACTCTGCAGTGCATCTGCAGTTCATTTGAGGTTTTAGTTTGATTTACTGCCACAGAGAGACTGGGGTCAGAGCTGCACTGACAGGAAAACACTGAGCTGCAGCGAGAAAGATGAGGAAGTTGGCAAAAAAAATGCTCAGCTTCAGTTTGATTGGGGAGTTTGAATTTTCAAAACCGCATTTCTTCCTCTTATTGTTAGTTTTTCATGCGCTAACAACAGGTGCAAAACCAGTCATAACACAGATGAACAGGATCATTGCTTTGAGCAGTGAGTGAATAGATGTGCATAGACGAGCAACAGTTGGGTTTACGTTAGAAAAGTTGGAGACGAAATTCAGCTCAATCACTTTTATGGTTTATCCTAAATCCTATCTCAATTAACTGAATAATTTAAAGTAATTTTTTATACGTAGTATTTCCCCTAAAAAGAATGTCATATTTTGTATGTTTCTGACAAAATCTGCCATTTTGATCCGCTGTAATATGACACCAGTAAACAAAATAGTCGTGACTGTCCCAAACCAATCCCAACTCATTTAAAATCCACCAGTAACCAATCAGAGCGCAGAGCCGTTTGAAATGAAGGTTGAGCCACCCAATCGTAAAGCTTCGCGCCTTCCTGGTCACTGGTGGGTTTTGCCCGGTGAGGGAGGGAGAACGAGCTCTACGTCAAACGTTAGCAAAGTTCGTTTTTTAAAATATTAAGCTTAATTTATTAATTCAGCGTCGTTGGGTGGATTATCTCTCACGTTTGCTCAGTGGAATTATTTGTGCAGTATAAGGTAAGTGCTCCTACATGATGCGTTTACTTGTGTTAAGAGAATTTCTAGCCGCTTTACGCCTCTCTTTGTTGGCTAACGGGGGCTTAGCCGATGCTATCCCCAAGCTGCTGCTAACGGTGAAATGGGCTCAGACTAATTTCTGGAATCACATCCTATTTTTACCAAAAGCATTATAAACACATTGAATTCGAAGCCTGTCTGTATGCTTGTTACTTAAATACAGTACATTTTACAGTGCAGTAATTTCGGTCAGTTTCGGATGGGCGTAGTTGTCATTTAGCTACACTAGTAAACGTAATTTTGCAAACATTGAGATTAATATACGCAATCATGCAGCGCGCAGGAAGTAGATTGCGCCCTACTTGTCAAACGGCAACTTTAACAGACTGGAAGAAATAGCACCCGCTCTATTGGCTTTTATGTTACAAGGGTGTCAGGCATTCTATAATTCCCTTCCTTTTTGTTAATTAGTCTGTATTCAGTGTAAATTGTTAGGCGCGCAGGCTTTGTCTGTTTGGCGGATGCGTCGGGGTTTCTTCAGCAGCACTATTTGAATGCATGACGTTTTCCCTCCTTTCCGTAGTGTTGCTTGTTGCTGCAGCAGGATTCTCTGAAAGCAAAGCCAACGCACGGCGGAAATTGTTAAAGCAACAGTTCATGATTTTATTTTTACATTTTTCTTAACCAGGTTGTTGCATTAGTGGCTTATTAAGGCATCGCTGGAATGAAGGACAAAACTATCAAATTAGATTTCCCTCAGGAAAAAAAAAAAGAATGTTTTAGCCCATACACTTGGGTGTTTGCCTTTGACGTTTAATAGTTTCGAAAGTGATTATATATTAATAAATAAATCCTTTTTTTCAAGGAAAGCGCACTAAAGACGTAGTTTTGTATTTGTGTTCTGGCCTCAAAGCGAAAGTGTGAACCGGGTTTCCTCTCTGAGTTGGAGAAAACATTGCAGGGCGAACGTTCAGTCCATGTTCCAGATGTGGGTGGAGGTCTCCATCGTCTAACTTTTTTTATTATTATTTGAAACTCCACCCTCCGGTCAGAGCCGTGTCTCTTCTCATAAATTGGTTGGCAGTCCGTCATCGGCAGGATCTGGACTTCCACGCTCGACATGGACCTGAGCCAGCAGACCTGAGGACCGGAGCGCAGGCCGGCTTTGGGTGTGTCGCTTTTCAGACGAGCTTTCGTGTTTTTCCGAGATGCGATTATTGAGGCCAAAGTAACCAGTGAATCTGGGGCTTATTGGGAACATGTGACTTAAACATATCGTATTATGTGTTTGTTTCAGGAGTTTTGAGGCTTTTCAATTGCCCTTTGATTGTAGATTAGGTAGGAGAAACAGTTGTAGTCAAAGAGCTGCAATCTGGGTTATTTTAAAGCAGCTTCTTGAGGGTCTTGTCTTGTAGCAGACATTGTGTGAACCGCTGGAATGTCCAGGAGCCTGACTGCTGACAGCAGGCTGAGCCTCCAAGTTTAAAAAACCCCAAAAACTATAATTGAACTTAAAAGTTCAGGCTTGTTGATCCCAGATATTAGTTGCAACTGCAGCTGAATGTTGCTCACTAATATATATATATATATATATATATTTTTTTTTTTTTTTATTTATTTTTTTTTTTTTACGTCTTTTGCAGTGTATAGCTTCGAGGAGCAATAACTGCGTTTTCAGTGCATATGTGCGCAAATGTTTGTCTATTCTGCTAATGTTAAAAAAAAATCAAATTTTGTAATGTCAGTGTTTCTATTACATAAATGAATTAAAATCACTTGAATCAACTTGTTCACCCGATAAGTCATTAAAAAGCATGGCAGCAACTGATGTAAATAGTTGCAAGATCTGTTCATAATTCAGCCACATCACTAGTGCTCATCTGCCTTTTTTTTTTTTTTTTTTTTTTTTTAGGAAGTTATAGTCAAAGATTTTACAGAAGAGCGATTGATTCAGTACGTTCAAATGACTCAACTTTTTATGCAATGCTGTGAGAGCTCTGGTGAAGCAGGCTGCACATTGTTTGAAAAAACCCAGAAGAAACCATCTTCCTCCTACATTATGGCGTCTTTCATATTGTAGTTTTTGCCAGTAGTAACATCCGGTGGATGATCACATAATGGGGGCTGGGGGTTCTGTTTCATTTTTGCAAAATACAACTATTTCTATTTTCATAGAAAAATCACATTTTATGTCTGTTATATTGGCAAAAATGTTCTGCTTGTGATTGTTGTTAAACTCAGTACCAGAGATCACAGACCTGCTATCTCTGAGCATCGCTAAGTTTCTTTTCATTCCTGCCTTCTCTGTGTCTTTTCCTCGTGGCCTGACTTGAATGGAGAGCTTCTGGGTAAACCTACCGGGGACATGCCTGTCAGCAGTTCTACTGTACTGTGCTGGTGTTCCCACTCACCGTGTCCCTCTGCTCTGTAATGTCATTATGCTGACGTTGCCTGGCCTATCCCTTTGTACAGTGGTTTGCTCTACTGTATTATTCTGTTGTTCCAATTGTGTTCTAATGAAGGTTTGTCCACTTGAAACACTTTGTGTGTGTAGTGTAGTTCAGATTTGTTAACAGTGTTGTGGTTTCAGACGACCACAATGGGCTCCAACCCAACAGCAGTAGAGTTTTAAAGTAAAGTTAAAATTGAGGCTCTGTAGTCTGTTTGGGGTGTAAAGGACTTTAGCTTGTTCCACCACATCTGATGGGTGTAGAAGGATTTCCTCAATGGGTTTCAGTGTAGCAGACGGTGTGCGTCAATGTTTTTAGTTTGAAATACTTGATGAGTAGACGGCACCATTTCCGTCTGTGTTTTAGTAGCTTTGTGATGGGTTCAGCTCCCATCCAGAAGAACGGGTTTCTCTGATACATCACTATAATCCGTGGCCTTATGTGTTTCTGCACTTACTGAAATAGTCACATGATGATCCGAGTCATTGCTGTCCTTTAAATAGAAGGTATTTGGGTTAAGTTGATGTTAATGTCAATGTATTAATTAAAATGAAGTAGCTGTTGAGTCCTGGTGAAAGTGACAGCCTCAACACTTTGTCACTCATCATTCCTACTTACTGCTGCATTAAAGAATTTCAGAAACACAATAATTACTCCTAATGCTACTTTTAGGGACTGGCAAACGTCAAGCAATATATCAAAATATAATTATTGTGGTTGTGAGAATTATAAACCAGATTTTTGTTGCAAATTTCCAAACTACCTCTTGTCATTGTTGCTTATGGCGATTGAACTGTTTTCTCATCTGTTGGTCACAGAGGGGGGAAAGGACAACATTCAATATCAATAATAAAACAAATTCAATCCTGTATCATTGCAGATGTCCTCCTCATACAAAGCTTGAGGCCATTGTGTGTTTATTTTATGGCAGTTTTAAAAATGAAATTTCATTGATTATTATTATTTTTTTTTTCCTTTTTTGTATTGGAAAATGTATCTTAGAACTGGAGTCTTATTGAAACTGTGATAATTATCAACATTTTCCAATACAGAAAAGAAGTGATTTATTTATGTCCATACTGAGTATGTACTTATTGTGGTAAAATTGCAGTACATAATGTAACCCAGAGACAGAAATAGGCACTATGATTATGGTTAAGTTTTATTTTTAGATATTTTTAATGCTTCTCATCATTATTATCAACATAAAATGAGACATTTCAAGACCATAACACCCATTCCTAACAACCATTTTAATACAGGGATTATTGGAGTTATATTTATGTTGTCCATATAATTTATTTTTGTATTGATACAGATAACTAGATGACTTTCTATATCATCCCTAGAAATGTTCTAAGACCTGGCTGGTCTAAGTAAAGCCGCAGTAGGAATCCAGGGATAACTCCATAAATAAGAGCTGCATTGTGATTGAGCTTGTTCGTCAGATTAAATGAACCTTTATTTTAAGGATATTTTTTGGCTCTGTTGACCTTTACTTGATAGAGAATTTACAAGAAAGTGGGAGATGTGACACACTGCCACACCCAAATGTACCTTTTAGGGAAAAAAACACACAAACCTTAAGGAGATGTGAAATATAGTAATTAGGCCAAAATGAAGGTACTACAATTGTTTATTTTATTTCTCTGGTGTAATATTTTCATCTTGGTCTGTATTTCCATTAGCAGTGAGCAAGAAATTATTGTTATTATAAAGGTATTATATTTATGATAAATATTAGTGCAATTACTGTTTTACTAAATGAGTTAAATAACTGAAATAAATTATCTTTTGCTGTTGCTCAGTAAATTAGAATTTAATGTTAGAATATCTCATTGAATTTTGTGGTCTTGAAACTGACATTATAAATGTATGTATTTATATTTTATAAGTGACATCTCCAACAGAAAAGCAACATTTGTTCTTCTGTTTCTTTACTATTTATTCATTTGTAGAGGTGCACCAATTGCAGATTTTTGGCTGACGACCATTTTTTTTTTTTCTGTTTTTTGAAGCCTGACATACCAATTCCAAATTTGGCCAGTGCAGATTCACTTTTTTTTTTTCACTTGTCGGAAAACCTGGCTAAGTTGGCAATAGCAAGTTAACTATAGTTAATCAAACACATGCAGACCTGTCAGTCCTCTGTCTCTGTCTCTTGGAAACTGATTCTCAGATCAGATCGCTGGATAAGATCAGTTTGTCATGAGAGGATCGACCGACTGCTGATCTCCCAACATGACAGAAATGGAAGCGAATTTATCAGATCACCCGAGTTATTTTGATGAACAAATGTGCCACTTGTAGTTTGCCCACTGTGGTTTCAAAACATCACTGCTATATTAAGAGCAGTGGTGATGCTTCTTAAACTTCCACATACTCTAGATGTACTCATTTGTACCACAAGTATTTCTCTGGATATTCCTAGGCTCTCTTTAAAAGGAACTGAAACTTAAGGAAAGAAAATGCTTTCTGATTTTGAAACCACTATGATGCAACAAAGAAAACATTTAGCCCAGAGTGATTGGGACGCTGCATATCTGTCCAGTTGTCCTTCTGTACCTCTTTCATACTCACTTCCCCTTGTGTCCTGCTCATCTCCAGTGGTCCATTATTGTGTGTCACTCCTCCTCAGGTGGTTGACCATGCCTTCTCTGAAGTACCAAGCAGGGGACAAGGTAATGGGCCGCTGGCCGGGCAGCAGCCTGTACTACGAGGTCAAAGTGCTGGGCTACGATGCTAAGAGCCGCCTCTACACAGTCATCTACAAGGACGGCACAGAGCTGGAGCTCAGGGAGCAGGACATCATGGTACGGCCACTGTACCGACTCAACTCCATGATGTTTGGGGATCCAAGTTTTTCACTACCGATACAATATCTGAGATTTATTATCGGCTGATACAGAAAAACACTGCAGAATGGATTTAAAATGTTTTTTTTGTTGTTTTTTAAACAGAGACATAAATGTAGTAAATTACAGATTATTTGATAACTCTGCACCAGCACAACACACTTGCATACACCAACAGCTTCACTAGTTTGGTCAAACATGTAACAACAACTTTAATTTGTTCAGTCAGTGCTAGAAAAGGAATAACAGCCAATGGAAAGTAAATAATAAAGAAACTGAAACTGATGAGAACATGTTGACTACCTTTGGTCAAACATCTACAAATAAATTGCAACAAACTTTTCAAATGGTTCTGTAAGCGCAATTAGGAATTCTAAATAGAATGTAAAATAATAAAGCACTCATAGGACAAAGTATAGAATTGGACTGACTAGATCCATACTTATATATAGGACACATTACGTATACTCATTCTAGAATTTTTTTCCAATATCTATCGGTTCAGTGAATCTGAAGTTTTAACAAATTTTGTCCTTCACACCGCCTCCTGATTTTGATATTACAGCTTTCTATGTATCAATACAAAAAATTAATCGTTTTTTTTTTTTCCCCAACAGAGTGTCACCAGCTTTCAGCAGCGCACTCGCTCACGTTCCCGTTCCAACTCCCGTTCCCCCGGGCGGCGCCGCAGCCGCTCACGCTCCCCCGCTAGAACCACACGCCGCTCGTCATCCCGTACCGTCGCCGCAGCCGCCGCAGAAAGCACACCGTCTTCACGCGGAGACAAAAAGCTCAAGCAAACAGCTGAAATCAAGATCAACCCCGTAGTAAGGCTTTTCAGAAAGACTTGCTGTCAAAAGTCATTAGGACCTTTTCTTCATCTCTGGAAATGTCCATGTGTCTCTTGGATTTTGACCAAAGTTTCCTTCGTTTGTTCCTCACCTTATCTTTTTTCCTCCCGTTTTCTTTTGTTCCTCTCATCTCCATCGATTTCCCTCTGTTTTCTGACGGGCAGCAGCAGGAGAAAAAGCCAGCCGAGAACAATAGCAACAATAAACATGAAAAGAAAGAGGAGAATAACACGGCTAGCAAAGTCAATGAGGTGAGTTCTGAATTATTATGTAGCAAAATACCTGGAACATTCATCCATCACTCAACACGCTTATCCCTAATGGGGTCACAAAAGCTGCTGGTCTGTTTCTCCATTGGTCAATGGACAAAAGGCAAACTGGAACTTTTCATTTTCCTTAGTTTTTATCAAACTAAGTTCTATCAAATAACTGACAGCTGAGCTGCCAGAGCATGTCTAAACTGCCACATAGAAACAGAAAGAGATCAGTCTATCTAAAGACTGGGTCGTAAAACAGCTGATCAATTGATTAATCCTGTGCATTAATCACAATTAATCAATTACTAAATCATTATAAAAATGAACCGAGTTAATGCAAGTTCTAAATAGTAGCACAGTCAATTGTTATCAGTTATTTTGACTTTTAGTTGATTGAAACAACTAGCAGGAAAAACATGGGCTCATTTCTCATGTTTTTGATGCTTTTGTATTTAGCATCTTTTCTATTTGTTCATAGCAGTTTAGTGTCATTTTAGTCATGAATGTCTGCATATTCACAACTAAATATGCAGGACAAAACGTGCTTTGCCACGTTTTGTGGTGTAAAAGAATCTAAGGCAGATTCTTTGTAAAAGAATCTAAGTACCTAACTTGTGTTAATGCTGGCTGTGGTTTGAGATGAGTGTGAGCTGCTGGAATGTCATGATGTGTGCAGGTTGATGGGGCCTTATGAAGGCTTCGGTTGCTCCATCACATGGTGGAGCAGCATGTGCCTTTCATTTCTCTGCTTTGAAAAAAAACCCCACAACTATCCATTCGCAGCTCACAAGTTCAGTAACTCTGTTGTTACTGTAACAGCAGCAGGTTGTCCCTCCCAAAGGCCTTTTTACCCCATAAAGTTATTAATGTCTAAAGTTATGTGTACATTTTTATGTACATACTGTCTGCAGTATCTTGCTGAGTAGAAACATGAATTCCGTTCAGTTTCTATTTATATGAATCAAATTGTATTTGTATAGCAGATTTCAGCATAGTAGCAAATTTTACTGGATAATAAATTGTCCCAGAAGTTATAACAATAAACAATAATATTTTTGTTTTGAGACCATTTTCAATTAATAATAATGCCAGAACACATTCTTAAAGATCAATAATCTTTAAATTCTGATGAACATTTAACACCTGGAAGACATTTTAAATATTCAAAAATAAATAAACAGAAACAACAAATAAAATAAATAATGAAGTCTCTGTAAACAAAACTGCCCTTCAAAATAAGTGCTAGTTGAGACCAAATGACCAGACTGACCTTTATAATCCAGATTTTAATTGAAAGAGAAAAACAATAAATTATGCTAAAGAAAGTTATGAGTTTGTTTAAATTTATCATGCGATTTATTGATTATTGTGACATTCCTTGTTAGGAGTTGTCTAAGCATGCAAAGCTCACAGTGATCCTTCCTGGTTTCCCTCAGCCTGATGCCAAGGTAGAGGTGGATTCTGAGAAGAACCTGGGCCGCTACAACCTGCGCCGCAGGAAGGAAGATGGAGACTCCAAAGCAGCTGAAGCCACGCATGAGGACAGGGAGGAGAGAGCGTCTGCTGCCCCTCCTGTTGCTGCTCCTGCCGCCACCACCTCCTCCACTCCACTGGACTTTGGAGGGAACATAGGTGAGTCACGAGAGAAGCAGAAAATAAGTGCATGTCTCCAAGCAGAGGGAACCTCACTCAAACTATGTGTCTGTCCCCAGGAGCCCTCTTCCTGATGCTCTTCCTGCCTGCCTGCGTTCTGTTTCTGGTCCTCCAGGTGAACCAGAAGGATCCCAGTCTGACAAACCTCCCTGCTCTGCCTCCACTCGAAACTTTCTGGGATCCTCAAGCTCTTGGCTTTGTCATCATCTGGACTTTCTTCCAGGCTCTGCTCTACATGTTGCCTGTTGGGAAGGTGAGTGAGGATCAGGAGGTTTAATGATGTGAGAACACCACTGCTGGATGTAGTCCAGCGTCCACGTGAACCGGCACATGACTTGGAGGAAGGCAGATATTGGATTAGTGGTCAGGAGGAAGGCTTGATGAGAGGCTCCTCTGGAGGAATGGAAGCTCTCATGCTGACATGTTAGATCTCAGAAGACTCTGTCCTGCTCCCATCCTGTAAACACAATCTTGCTAAATCAAATTTTAGATGATAATCCACTACTGATCATGTCGCATTTAAAGGGGCAGTGTTCTATGACTCCCCCTTTTTTTTCTCTCTCTCTCTTCACAATTTGTCATGTTATAATGGTATTTCCTCATCAAAAACATACCTGGAATGTTGCTTTAATTTTTTATGCATGTTTGAGAAATTCTTTAAAATCCATGGCTCCCATTCGGCTCTGCAAAAGGCCTGGTTGGCTCTACACCTGCCTTTGAGGAGAGACTTCTCCTCAGAGAGTGGGGAGAAGCCCTCTCCCACTCACCTCCTTCAGACTAGCAGCAGCAATTAGCAAACACCTGATGGAAATGCTGAGCTCATTATTGGAGCTAATTCTCATTGCAACGCTGATAAAACACTAAAGGGTTAATAGAGTTGTGTTGATTTCCTGAAGGCAGAGTTTCAGAAAGAGCAGGAGTTTTTAAAGAGACAGAGGCCCAATTTCAAGGCGTTGCATTACAAATCAAATTTTTCTTTAGTTATATTTGATATATATAGCATTTTTATGACTGAAGTTGACATGGTTACCTAATTGCGCTATAAAATGACAAGTTATGCCTGTAAACTACATAAATACTACCCATTTATAATTGATTCCCAGTTTCTATTTTTACTGTCTGATGATTCTTCTCTCTGTTGTCTTATTTCAATCCTTTTCCTCTGTGTTTCTGTAGCTGAGTGAAGGAATTGTGCTGAGGACTGGCAGAAGGCTCACATACAGAACCAATGGTAAGACTTGGCTCATCACACTCTGTCACTGAGCCTGTTCTGTTCTCACCTTACCTGGATTTCATGTTTTTAATTTGACCTCTGACTGAACTGTAGCAACTTTGTTCCCAGATGTTCATCATCATCATAGGTTTTAATAACAGTCACCTGGTTAATTGTTTCAGATTAACCAAATCAGATTAATTAATCAAAGGAGTTTACATTTCAATAATTGTTGGTCAATGTATTCCAGGTGTTATAAACTTGCATTTGTTATGCTGATGTAATGTTTTGCCAGTCAGTCTCACAGCTGCAGATGTTTACAAAGGTCACAGAGTGATGGAAGCTCCTGGCCAGTTTTCTGTGTCGGCGTCTCTCAATAAGTCACATCATACATTAAAACGAGCTCAGTAATTTCCATTTGCACGATAAATAGTTTTTCTGTTTCTCTCTTTCTACCAAAAACTGGATGATAAAAGTTTCCAGTCTGGTGCTTTGGTCTCAATCAGCCCTTTCTTTGCAGGACAATTTTGATGACAGAAACTTTATAATTTATATTATCTGTTATTTAATTTGGATATTTAAAATGTCTTCCAGTTCCAGTGTTAAATGTTCACTAAAATTGAAAGTTTATTGATCTGTGAGACTATTTTCTTGTATTATTTTGTCATCAGCATGACGTTACTTGAAAATGGCCTCAAAACAATGTTATCATTTATCACAATAACTTCTGGGACAATTTATTGTTGTGTGCAGGTTTCTTTGCCTGTGTGGTCAGTGCTGCAGTGGTGGTAGCAGCAGTGTACCAGGGAGCTGACCTCACCTACATCCACAGCCACTTCCTGCAGCTGACCTCCGCCTCCTTCCTGGTGTCCATGCTGCTCAGCGTCTACTTGTATGTACGCTCCCGCTCCGCCGGCCCTGATGAGCGGGCTCTGGGAGGAAACTCGGGTGAGACCCATCACAAATCAGCCATGCTCCACCTCCATGCGCTGTGCCGTCTCCTCATTTTAATAGAGCCTGCTGCTATCTGCTTTGACCCTCCAGGAAAGGTGATCTATGACTTCTTTAAGGGCCGTGAGCTGAATCCTCGCATCAAGGAGTTTGACCTGAAGTTCTTCTGTGAGATGCGTCCTGGACTCATTGGCTGGGTGAGTTCTGATGGCATGTCTGAGGACCATCATGCAAAGTGGGCAAGTAAGGCCAAACATCACCACCGGGGGGCGCCTTATGGCTCAGTAGCAGAGCAGGTTCACTATGCAGAGGCTGCATGTCTTCTCTCTCTCTTTGCCTTTCTTCTTAACTTACTGTTGAATCATCACCTTAGTACTGTTAGAAAACAGCACCCCCTGCTGGGTTTCGAGATCTACTCTTTTTATATGGTTTATTTTACACTTCATAACAATCTATGGCTGTGAGATGATCACAGCAACTCTAGTGAAGTGACTTTCATAGAAAGGCTGACGGTGATATTAACTAAACTGTGGTAACACTAACATTTAACAAATCATCGCTTTCATTTAAAGCCATCGATTTGTTTGTTGTCCTTCTTCTCAGATGTTGCAGTGTAGTGATTATTAGATTTAACACCATATTTATGAAGCAGGTCCTGCATCCTTTCTTGTTCCACTTTTAAAAGCTTCACTTGGACTCAGGCAACAACAAAACATGACTGAGTTAATTGCTCTCTGAATTTTCCTTGGCCATAAGAGTGTGTGTGTATCCATGGTTGTTTGTCCTGTGAGTCTTAAACAGTGTTGGCTGATGCTACTTTAGCATCTACACTGTGACTGTTTTCACAACTTGTATCTCTAGATATCAGAATTTGAATGTATTCAAATCAGGAGGAAACTGGGCAGTTTGTCTCTGTCTGTGACTTTCACATTAAAGATCTTGGAATGAAGGAACAGTTAAAAACATCAAAGCCTGTATTCTTATATATTCACAGAGAATGCTAAGACTAAAAGCAACTGGTGGCGACATCATGTTAATAACAGTCATCGCGATTCTAGATGTTAGTTCCATTGACTTATGTGACTCTTCCTGCTTAGTGTCTGATCAACTTTGCTATGGCGTTGGCTGAGATGAAACAGCAGAAACTGGACGCTCCGTCATCCTCCATGATCCTGGTCAACGTCTTTCAGCTCATCTACGTGGTGGACGGCTTGTGGAACGAGGTTCGCTCAGCTCACTACCCACATTCCCAGAAATGTTCCCTCTGTCAGCTGAAACGTGACTGAGCCAGTGTTTCTCTTCCAGGAGGCCATCTTGACCACCATGGACCTGATGCATGACGGCTTCGGCTACATGCTGGCCTTCGGGGATCTGGTGTGGGTTCCCTTCACTTTCACCCTGCAGGCTAACTACCTGGTTAGCCACCCCAACCCCCTCAGCCTCCCGGAGCTCACTGCCATCATTGTACTCAAACGTGAGTAGTGTCATAGCAACCAGCTAGCTATTTAAGTTATTATTACCACAATACCACAAAACATTGTAATAAAACTATATAGCCCACATCTGTTAACTTCATATTATTATAGTTTTAGATAGGTCCTGAACTATACCTGTTTTAGATTGTATATAGTTTTGTAAACATTTTATGTCACCAGCCCTTCGATACAGGCCTCTTCAAATATTTTTTCTGACCACATCTAATTTTTATTTATTTACTGATTTTACTTTTATTTATGAAATTGCAATTCATCAATATGCTGAATTCAGTATATTGATGAGAGTATTACACATTTATAAATACACACTGTCCCATTTAAAGAAAATCAGCCTGATAATGCAGTTATCAATATATTGTGTAAAAGCAGAAACATTCTTATTTATTGCATTAACTTCTGTTATGATTCATTGTCCAGCAGAATCAAGTGGTCATGGCAGTCTGTGTCTGTGTTTCAGTTGTTGGCTTCTACATATTCAGGAAATCAAACAATGAGAAAAACGCCTTCAGGAGGAACCCGGCAAACCCCAGGCTGTCCCGTAAGTTCAGCCCAGGCTTTGGGACGTCCTTTGGACGCCGTCTTCCTCAGACTGTCACAGGAAAACTTCAGTGTCCTCTCTCCTGATGTGTCCAGATTTGAAAACCATCCCCACAGCTACAGGGAAGAGCCTGCTGGTGTCTGGCTGGTGGGGGGTGGTTCGCCATCCCAACTACCTGGGAGACCTCATCATGGCTCTGGCCTGGTCCCTACCGTGTGGTGAGTGGACCTCACCTCTTTTAGCACAAACATTCAGGCTCCAAAGGCCCAAAATGTCATGGCTAACCTTGGAATGTTTAGCCTACAGACTGCTGACGTTTGTGTGTGTGTGAATGAGCTGGTCACATTCAAATGGTGACAAACTAGCTCAGTGGGCAAATGAGAGCCCACTCCAGGTGATGAATCATGTTTTTCCCTTCCTGTCTGCAGGCTTCAGCCACCTGCTGCCCTGGTTCTACATCATCTACTTCGTCATCCTCCTGGTGCACAGAGCCTCCCGCGACATGAATGTGTGCCGACGGCAGTACGGCTTAGCGTGGGACGAGTACTGCCGAACGGTGCGCTACCAGATCATCCCCGGCCTCTACTGAGGATCCAATCTGAGGTCTTCCCCTCCCAGCATCATGACCACCAGGACGCCCTCTGAGCGTCCCGGACCGACTGACCCACTGACTTTAGAACATTTCTAAATCTGAATTGAAGAACCTTTGATTTTTTTATATATATATGTATAATGAATAGGAAAAAAAGGACAATTATATTTTGGACTTTTTGAAGAACTGCCTTTTTAATAGAAAATATAAAACATGAAAACTTTAAAAAGTTTACAAAAGAGGAGAAAATGAAAAGTAAGCGCCTCTTGTTGAAATATCTCATTAGGCTGTACTGTATATTTTTGTACATACACATTTGTTTTTTATACTTCAGAGTAACATACCACCTGCAGAACCTTCAGTTTTGTTTCTTTTTGAAGAATTTCCCCATAGCAGCCATTTTCACACTGCTCCATTTCCAGCTTGGCTTTTCTGAATATGTCTAAGTAGACATTTCTGTCATCAGCCTGTGTGTATTGTGAAGAACAGGACTGACTGTGTCCCTCAGTGATGATCTGCACAGTGGAACTGTGACTCATGTTAATACTCAGGACTCCAATGTAAATTAGGACAATTTTTAGCTTTGTTTTGTTTCCAATCTATAGAAATTTAGTTTTAACTCGAGCGCGTCAGATGATTTTAGAGGTTTTATTTAAAAATGCACTAACGGATTTTGTCTAGGTTCCAAAGTGTATTTTATTGGCTTCGCGACCTCAGGTTCACTCAATCACTGTTCTCCCCTCTCTGGGCCCTCCAGGTGGCGCTGTGTTGAGAGGGCGACACAAGGCAAACTCGTTCGATTTTAACAGTGTTGTATGACCTCGTGGAGTCTGGATGGTGCTATTTATTATGAACTGAATTGGTTATAAATTCCCCTTTGATGCCACTTACTCTCACTGATTGTACTTATTTTAAGCTTTAATTTCAACAAGAGGCCAGTGATGACTGACTGTGATAACCTGCCTCGCCCGGTAACATTGAAGCCTGTCCATCTCCAAACCTCAAAGTGTTTTTATGCATGTTCAGCTGTAGATCATCTTACAGGTAGCAATACATCAGCTAAACTAAGTAGTTAGCTTTTTTTTAAATGCTGTGCTGACTGAATATCTTGTAAATAATTTTTAATCATGTGATTTATTTTTTAAGAATAGAAGTGATAATAGTATAATTGCAATGTTTCCAAGTAGCTATTTAATGTTGCTTTATTTTCTTTTTTTTTTTTTTTGCAATTTGTTTTTTAATTTAAATTTTGACCACTGTATTTATGTTTACACCCAGGCCTGCCAGGGTTCAGGATTCCATTCAGTTTGGAATTGCCTCACCCCTGTTTTGCTCCAATATTGAGTTGTGGTGAATCATGTTATAGTGGGAAGCAGTACAGATGAACATCCACAGATCCAGTGGGGCTTAGGAATCCAGAATAGCAGCTAGATGAAGCTTATCTGTGTAAATGTTGCAGCATCAAATAAAGATTTTCAGTATTTTCTTGTCCCACTGTGTGTGGCTGTATTTATTTACATTTTTTGTTTTGTTAATATGAAGCTATGTTGTGGGTCTGACAGATATAATTATGGGGAAGACACTCCAAGTCAATGATTTTTACAGAAGGTGGCTGTTCAGAGTGTTCCACTCAAACAGAATGGAAAGGTGAGTGGAAGAAAGAACTATCCAAGGTGGGGAGCTGTAGACTGCAGTTTTGAGAAAATATAGTTGGACCTAAAACATTTTCATACCCCTTTAAAGATTTAGGGTTATTACAATAACAAATTTTCCCAGAAATGATTGCAATAAAAGATGTTTGAGACAATTTTCAAGTAATCTGGTAAAGACACAATGATCAAAGATCAATAAACAATTCTGCTGAACATTAAACTGGAATTGAAAGATGTTTAAAATATCCAAAAAAAAAAAACAAAACGACAAATAAAATGAACCATGAAGCCTGTGTAAACAAAATTATCCTTTTTTTAAGCAAACAAAAAAGGGCTAGTTAAGGCCAAAGCACCAAACTGGAGACTTTTGACATCCAGTTTTTGGAATAGAGAAAAGAGAAAAATGATAAATCAGGCAAATGGAAATTTGTCATCTGACTGATTGATTTAGTATGACAGGCCTTGTTTACGGTAATCTTATTTTATCCAACAGATGTTCTTGACAGTAATATAAATGTTCTGGAGTGGTTTCAAGTTCCAGCTTAAACATGAAGGAGAGAGATAAAGATTAGGATGGTGGCCAGGAGGCCTTCCAACCTCAAAGAAATAGAAGACCAGAGAAAACATGAAGAGCTGCTCAGCGGTTAAAAAGATTTGATTGCTATGACGACTAAAAGATTAGGAAGAATATAAATAATAGAATGTGTTTATTCTGTTTAAATATGAACAAAATGTACTCAAATGATTTTTTTCAAACTGACATTAATGGTTGGCAGAAAATACATTCATGATTTGCACAAACATTTCTCAAATCATCAAATTCTATATTTTCTACATGGAACATGTGTGTCTCCAAATTTCGGGGGGAAATCTACTTTTTTCTTTCTATCTGTATTTGCCCTCTTAAGCCGTGGTTGCTTTGATGACTCCTTTATCTTCAACCATGTAACTATAATTAGATATCTGCTTGCCACAGAGCAGGACACTCGGAATAAATTCATATAAGCTCCTTTAAAACCGCTATTGCTAAATGTGTAAAATTTGCCCTAAAGGTTGGTGTTTGCTCAAATGAAGCCTATCTTTTATTTTGAAAGTCACAAACGGAAGTCCAAACTTCGGCTGAGTTTGAACGCAGAGGAACGTGCGCTGTGACTGACTTCCGTGATAAAAGTGAGCAATAAACGTCTCGAGCACTTTAGCCGCTTCAGAAAAGTCCTTCTAACCTCCGCAGCGGAGAGGCTGCGCGTCCATGAGGGAAGTGAAGTAGAATCTTCTCTCGCAGCAGGTTTGTGGACTCTTTATGGTTGTCTGGGTCGGTACTCAGTGGGTTTTGTAAAATAGTTTAGTTTATAGTTCAGGAGATGGTGGGTTTGGTTGTTTTGAAGTGAACTGCAGTTGGTTGTGATTAACATCAACACTTCACTCGCAGCCTTGCTAGTGTTTCCTCCAGTAGGCTGACTGTCTTCGTGGAGACTTTCCCATCCTGTCTCTGTTGGCTCTGCTCGTATTTAGCCACAAACACTCCTGTGCTGGGCGAGGCTGGCCTGAGGACACAATTAACCTTGTCCACTTGTCTCTTAGTGTGGAAGAACAGCAGGAACTCAGGAGGGAAGACTCGGGAATATTGGAGCCTTGTTTATAACTAAAGGATAAAAATGGAATATATCAGTACATTATGAATTCTTTGATGCGTCTACTCACTTTCTATAAAAATAAATAAATCATCTTTATCAAAATTATGGCCACCAATTTCCTACCCATCACAGAACCAGTTTAAGTTGATGTTTTGAGGCATTTGTTGGTGGCCTGGTCCTTCCAGCTGCAGCTGAATGAAACCTTGTAGGGAGATTTGATAGCATCCTATCCCCAACCAGAGCTCTGATGCAGGTTTATTGTGATTAATGTTAATAATTAATAGGTAAAATTATGCGAGCACATGCTTCTCCTGCAATGTGTCTGACGCCTATCTGATTCTGTCACATTTGCCAATTTTTCCTTTTTGTATACATACATCATGGAATTTCATTTGATAGCCTTGAAAATGCTATCCTGAATCATATCATCGCATGTGGTAAATATGAACAACATGATGTAGAATAAAATAAATATAACTTCTAAAAACATGTTTTGATATGTGACTACATTACACATGTTCCACATATTATCGTCCAGTACTCAAATTTTCCAACCTTACATTCACATGTACCTGTAGCACATTACATGTTCTCTTACATAGATATTCATGTTTGATGGTGGCCACGCCCCCGATTGTGACGTCACGACAGTTGCATCATGTGACTGGTTCACTTCTTAAACAATACTGGCATCTGTGAGCTTGTTTTAAGCTATTAATTGTAATAAAAATGAGACAGAGCTTGATGATTTCCATTCTGATATATTTTTGAAAGGCAGTTTTGTTTAGAGACATAATCTATTTTACTTATGGTTTTTCTTTCTGTTTACATATATATATATATATTAAAAAAAAAAATTCCCTTCTCACCCACCGCGGGTGGTTCTTATCCTCTGAGCTCGGGTCCTCTACCAGAGGCCTGGGAGCTTGAGGGTCCTGCAGTATCTTGGCTGTGCCAAGGACTGCTGCACATTTCTGGACTGAGATGTCTGATGTTGTTCCTGGGATCTGTTGTAGCCACTGCTCCAGTTTGGGGGTTACTGCCCCGAGGGCCCCGATGACCACAGGCACCACTGTGGTCTTCACCTTCCAGGCCCTCTCCAGTTCCTCCCTGAGGCCCTGGTATTTCTCCAGTTTCTCGTGCTCCTTTTTCCTGATGTTGCAATCACTTGGTATTGCTACATCTACCACAACGGCTTTCCTCTGATGTTTATCCACTACGACAATGTCTGGTTGGTTCGCCATTACCATTCTGTCTGTCTGGATCTGGAAGTCCCACAGGATCTTAGCTCTGGCGTTCTCCACCACCTTTGGGGGTGTTTCCCACTTTGATCTCGGGGTTGATATATTGATAGTTGATATTTGACATATCCTCCTGTGTAAAGTGTTTGAAGTTTATTTGTCTTTGTCTCATGACAACAATATTATTGTTTGTCCCAAGAATTTCTAAGACAAATTTATTGTCCGGCAAAATTAGTTGTAGTCCAGTCACCTGTAGCTCTGCCATTTAAATTTTTTAGGATGAAGTGCATTTCACTTATTCAAGCCCTAATTTACAGATTATTACTTAATTATACTTTTATGAAGTTGAGCATAATTTTTAAAAAGTTTAAATGTATGAAAACCGAGGTTCATTGATGTTTATCTACAGGGTGCTGGAGATGTAAAGGTTTTCATTATGGGGTTTGGAAAGGATTGTGACTTTGATCCTGTAGCTGCATGTGGAGCTTTCAATCAGTACCACAGCTTTAGATCGTGTGTGTGTGTGTGTGTGTGTGTGTGTGTGTGTGTGTGTGTGTGTGTGTGTGTGTGTGTGTGTGTGTGTGTGTGTGTGCGTGCGCGCGCGCGCTATAGAAGACAATATAATATAAAGTAAGGTGATGAGCAGCCTCTGCTTCTGCTTCAGCATGAGTCTACGGGAGATCAGTGAGAATGTGAAGCTGGCGCGGGAGTACGCTCTGCTGGGGAACTACAGCTCAGCCAGTGTTCTGTACCACGGCCTGCTGGACCAGATCAAGAACTACATGTACACCGTAAGGGACGGCGGCGTTCATCAGCGATGGCAGCAGGTAAACCCTCTGACCACAAACCCACCAATCAACTGGACAGACTGGAATATTGTTGGCTAAGCTTCACTTGATCCCCTATGATTGGGGTCTGATGGAACCAGTTTTAATGATATTTATTTTCGGTCATATACAAACCAAAAAAGGGGGAAAAAACACACATTGCTGAAAACACAAGACACCAGTACAGAAATAGATAAAGAATATTTAGATTCCTGTTGATGACAAGAACTCAAAAGTGTAGCTTATTCTACCTTCACTTTGTGACACATAAAGCATCATCACATTCTTTCCTGTATAATTTTCTAAAACATAACTCCAGCTAAGTTTGTAGACAAACTCATGAAAGTAAACATAATCAGACCTTAATGTATTTGTTTAGCAAATGGCTAAAATACAATTTTTTACTTAGAGTGAAAAACACCTGAATCCCTCAAACTGAAGAACTGTTCATCCTGACCCTTAAATAAATTCTTCTCTCTCTCATTTTATTGTTTGTTTCTTTAATTTCAAGTAAACTATACACTAGATCTAATAGGAAGATCTAGTGAAGCATCAATCAAACATTTTAGTGGAAAATCTTGCTTGTAAATCATCATTCCTTCATTTTCTGCTGGGTACGAAACGCACTTGCAGAACATTTTTGTTCTTGTTTTATATCTTAAGACATTTCAGAACAAGTAGGATTTTCCTGGTAGAACCTCCAGAGAACAACTCCAGGTGTTTAGCATCCATTAAAAGCCTCATTACCAGGGAACAGTCCAGACTCATCTCATCTCTGTCTCTGTTCCTCAGCTGTGGCAAGAAATCAATGAAGAGAGCCGGCAAGTTCAGGACATCATGTCCACTCTGCAGAGCTTTCAGCTGGACACGGCGCCCGCTAAACCCTCCAACCATGACGACTTTGAAATGAGGCCAGCACATGTGGAACCAAGGTATTCCATTCTTTCAGTAACACAGTTTGTATTTTTAGCTCTGTGTTCAGGGCCTGAGTAACAATCTTTGTTCACAATAATCCAGTTGCAGTCATATGATGGAGATTAGGAGCCTTCAGCTCCTTTCACTGCTGCTCTGTTCATTTCAAACTGTTTCTGTGTCCATTTTGGATTTAGTGTTTCGTCATTTCTAAGTCCTGCTGCTGATAAAAATTTGATGCTACTGTGTTAAGATGAAGTATTTTCTTATCTGTAAAACCGAAACAAAAGTTCCCATGATCCTCTCTGCTTATTCTGTAATGCCTCTGTCCCAGACACTCTCCTGGCCCCGTCAGGCGCTCCAACTTTCATAAGGAGAGCAAACCCTCCAACCACCGGCTGAGCGCCGCCGTGAGGCCCCACCAGAAGCAGTCCCAGCGGGGGGCCAACGGGGCCGGGGGCCGAGCCTCCAAGACCAAAGAAAAGAAGGAATCAAAGGAGGTGAAGGAGGCTGGCAGCAAAGCCAAGGACGACAAGGTGATCAGCCGCTGCTTTTTGTCCTAAACAATCGCTTTCATATTCTCTGTTTGCATTCCTGATCAAACAGTCTTATGTATAATAACAATAACAAGCTGGTTTGTTCACAGCTTGTTATTCCGGTTCTCCTTCAGGTCAGGAGCGTTCCGCTGAGTAAACATGTCTTCTTTTCCACCTGCAGGAGAAAGAGGTGAAAAAGTTTGACGGTACAGGATACGACAAAGACCTAGTGGAAGCCCTGGAGAGAGACATCATATCTCAGAATCCCAGTGTGAAGTGGTGAGCAGTCTGAAGGACGGGTTTAGTTTTGAACCTGGATCTGAACAGAACTCTGTCTCTTCTGTCCAGATCAGTTAAGCTGATTATCAGGATCTCAGACTCTGAACTGAATGGCAGTTTATTCATCCAGGCTCCAACTTGCTGCTTCTGTGAACTTGTTGCATCCATGTTGTTTGACTTCACTCTGGTTGTTCTATCCAACATGCATTTCTTTTGATATTTGCACATTTCTTAGGGACGACATTGCGGATTTGGAAGACGCCAAAAAACTGCTGAAAGAAGCGGTGGTGCTGCCGATGTGGATGCCTGCTTTCTTCAAAGGCATCAGGAGACCATGGAAGGTACGCACTGATCGTCATTATTAATCATCAGACAAAAATGATCAATAACAAATGTCTCAGTTGTTCTCTACCAGTCATTGTTTGCTAGAAATTATATTTCTACAAGGCAAATAAATTCTTAGTAGGAAAAATCAGCAGAGCTGAGCTGCATGGTGCCGATTCTGATCTGAATTGGGTTCAAAGTGATGTCAATGGAGGTCATTTCAACTGAGCACAAAACTTTGTTGATATTTCACTAATGTTCAGAAAAAACATAATTTCACAATTGCAGTCTTTCCATTAAATAAGAAATCAAATTAAAACCACATCCCTAAAAAATATCACCATCCTGCCACTTCCTGCTACTTTTTGTCGGTACTAAACATCAGCGAAAAATGTTTCCTTTGCAGTTTCACAAAATAATTATCATTTTGATACGACTGAAAATTCACCTCATTCTGGCGCCAAAACATTTGATAGAAAACATGACTTTTATTTATTTATTTTTTAATCAGCACATTTCCATTGAGCAAATGTATTTAATTCCAATTTCTGTAATTCTGCAGTCAATGGAAACACAGCGAGAAGGAAAAACCAGGAATCCAGCAGCTGAGCTTCAATAGGGATGAACTGCAGTAAATATTCTCTGAACATCAGAGGAAAAACCTCAGTCCAGATATTGTTCATAGATTTAGTAATATTTTTTAGTAAGTTGAGTGTAGAAATCAGTTAAGTTTATTTGAATAGCACATTAAATTTCTCAAGTGCCATCATCAAAATCATCAACATGCATCATATTTGTCAGTCAATGTTTTTCAATAATTCTGGATCAAAGCTGGTTTTTAGCCTTGATTTACATGAACTCAGTGTTTCTGCTGTTTTTCGGTTTTCTGGGAGTTTGTCCCAGATTAGTGGTGCTGGGAAGCTCAATGCTGCTTCTCCATGTTTGGCTCTGGGGATCGAATCAAATAAATTCAGAAAGTTGACAGGCTGCTCAACTCTAAGATGATCTCATGGAAACCAAACCGGAGGGATGTGGACAGACCTGGAAGAAAATGGCTGCTCATTAGCTCCAGGATGATCAAAAGGCTTCAGTTATCTCAGAGTGGCTGCATGGAACAAAGATTCGCAGGAATCAGCAAAATTCTGTCGTTTTGGAGAGATTGAGAGGATGGTGGGGGGGAAGCAGGAAGATTGTCAGTTGATCAAAGAGCATTGATTCTCTTGGAGCTCTGTGGAGCAGAGCCACTGTCTTCACAGTGTGAGGAGGTTCGTTATGATTATCACTCTGAACGCTGTTCTGGTTTAACAAGGCCTGAGCAGGAAGCAGCAGAAACCTGTTGGGCTGAATCTGACCTCAGAATTTATTTTTTAACGGTTTTCAAATCTGTATTCAATGTTCCGTGTGTTAAACAATATTTGTATGCATTTCTCTTTTATGAAGAAATATTAATGTTCATTCTACTTTACTATCTGTTGAATTATAAGTTTGACTTTTTTTAATGGATGCACTGATGTGCAAAATTTGTGCTGATATTAATATCCATTATGAATATAATCTCACCACGATGCTTTGCTCCATCAGCATCTCTGTCATAAGACCAGTTGAGAAGTTGATGAATATTATGCATCATAATTCATATTACTTCTGGTTTTTATAAAGAATGCATTTTCTGAACTGCTCTGTTCTTAGACAGGAAGCATATATGGCAGAGAAATGTTCCAGACATGCTCATGATGCACCCTGTCACTATGGAAACCGTGTCATGTCCCAGAGTGTCCTTAGTAGACAGCAGAGCATGAACACGCCGAGTGTCCCGTCATCCTGTGCTGTGATTGGCTGCCTCCTCCTCAGGGTGTTCTCATGGTGGGCCCTCCAGGAACGGGGAAGACTCTGCTGGCCAAGGCCGTCGCCACGGAATGCAGGACTACTTTCTTCAACGTGTCTTCGTCCACACTGACCTCCAAGTACAGAGGAGAGTCGGAGAAGCTGGTTCGCCTTCTGTTTGAAATGGTGCGCTCACCTTCCGTCCAGTCTGCATCGTTTGACACTGAGCTGTTGTTTCGAAACAGAATCGCCTCGTCCTTGACTCCAGCGCTGCCTGTCGTCCATGTTGTTTGCAGGCGCGCCACTATGCTCCCACCACCATCTTCATCGATGAAATCGACTCGATGTGCAGCCGCAGGGGAACCTCAGAGGAGCATGAGGCCAGCAGGAGGGTGAAGGCAGAGCTGCTGGTCCAGATGGACGGTATGGAGGCACACAGAGGTGTTGGGCGGTAACTTCAGTTTCCTGCTCATGTAGAGCCTAAAACATGAAAATGTTTGGTTGTGGTTGAGCGATTACAGTAGGTCTAGTTAGGATGTTTAACCCTCTAATGCTTCTTCTGTTATCTATGCTCCGGTGCAGGGGTGGGCGGGGCTTCAGAGAACGATGACCCATCCAAGATGGTGATGGTGCTCGCAGCCACCAACTTCCCCTGGGACATCGACGAGGCCCTGAGGAGGCGGCTGGAGAAGAGGATCTACATCCCTCTGCCTTCCAGTAAACTCCCTCATTCTGGTGTTTTCTCGCAACACATTTAGAGGAAATGAACGATTCCACATCACAAAACTCTTCATGGTCATTAGTGCTGGCTGAATCAGTCGGCAGAGGGAAACCGATACTCTGCCATGTTATGGTCAATGTATGATGTATGTGTGGAACTCACCTGTGGTTTCTCAGCTGGAAAAAACACCTGCAGCTTCCAGGGAACTGGCATTCCAGAGTCTTCTGCTGCAGCTGTTGGCCAATGGGAAGCCTGAACCCTGACCTCTTTACCTTTTCACTACACATAAAACACTGTGTTTTATGTGTGTTGATAGAAACTCCCAATTGAAATATTGCACAGTTGTTTGGTTTTTGTGTAGCTATTCTTCTTAGGACTACTTTTGTCATATTTACCAACATGGAGACCAATGAGTCTTCCTGGTCCTAATACGGTGGACCCCCTTGTTTAGGGTCAGAGGCTTGGTTTAGAGTTAAGGAATGAATTTAGTTAGGGTTAGGAATACACTAGTAATAGGTAGGAATATAATGTGTATTGAATTTTGTTCCTTGTGTTTGTGTTTGCAGTAAAGGGCCGGGTGGAGCTGCTCCGGATCAACCTGAAGGAGCTGGAGCTGGCCGACGACGTAGACCTGGACAAGATCGCAGAGCAGCTGGAGGGATACTCAGGAGCTGACATCACTAACGTGTGCAGGTCAGAGACACACACACACACACACACACACCTAAACGCACGCACACCCCCCCACACACACACACCCACACGCACGCACACCCCCCCACACACACACACCCACACACACACAAACGCACACAAACACAATCACTGTTTTCTGTTTTCAAGAGGACTTCGTATTGATTTCCATTCATGTCTACAGCCTAACATTTTTCCATTACCCCAAACTACGATAATCGGTTTATGTTACAGAGTGATCTCACGTCTTTAAAATGTCTTAAATACATTTAATCACAGATCTTAATTTTTTTGTAATAGAACTATTTAATGTCATATCTAATGTAATTTTTCTTTTTTTTTTCCTCATGGGACTTTATTGTTCTGTGACTCAGGCTGGTTGAGGCTACCGCTAACTAGCTGCTAATGCACCTACAATAGCAAAGCTAGTTAGCGTATTTATGTCCAGTTTATCAACAGTTATTAGGACGATGTTTGATTTAGCTGTTGGTTAACCTCTGTTGCTAACACACATGACTCATTTATTTGCGATTCTTCTTTCTTTTGTACATTATTGATGTAACACAGGCCTTCATTTCTGTTCATAAAGGCCTTTAAAATGCAAGTTGGTGAAACCTGCAGAAAGTCAGTGGGTACATAGTGGGTCTTTACTAGGTGACAACTGCTAAAACACACAATGCGTGACACTTTTAAATTACCACACTGGGAAACATAAAGATATGAAACAGTTCTCTCTTCATGTTTAACATTCTCCTTTTTCTTTAACTTTGCCAAAGAAATCTTACAAATGTCAGTGTGTCAGCTTTATTAAAGTTCATGTGAGTGGATAAGTGAGACGGTTCAGAAGTGACTGAACTCCTCTGAGCATGTAAGGACCATTTTTTCCTGTTTGCCGCATTAGAGACGCCTCCCTGATGGCCATGAGGCGACGGATTGAGGGTCTCACCCCAGAGGAGATCCGGAACCTGTCCCGGGACGAGATGCACATGCCAACCACCATGGAGGACTTTGAGTCGGCTCTGAAGAAAGTCTCCAAATCCGTATCAGCTGCTGACCTGGAGAAGTACGCCAGCTGGATCGAGGAGTTTGGATCGTGCTGAGAAGAAAGCGACCCGAACATTTAAAGATGTTTTAGCGTGAGTTTGGCTGAGCAGTTTGATGTTTAGAAAGTGAAGTATTGCTGCGCTTGTTTTGTACATAATGTTCAATCTGAGGCGGTAACATTAACAGCCAATCAGAATTCATTTACTTACTTTTAATTACAATTGATGTTTTGAGACCAACATTTCTGTCTTTTGGACAATTTACATTTCTATAAAAGCAACACTAAAGATATTTCTGTAAATAAAGTTATTGTTCAATTAAATCAAAGAGCCACTGGAGTCATTTTCTTTGACTGTGGCTCTCTGGGTAATCGTCTTATTGGAAGATTTAGTTTCAGCTTCTGCCCCAACCACAAGTTGCCTATTTGTGTAGAAATGTGTGTTTGTATCTGAATGTGACTCTAGTCAGTGTAAAGCACTTTGAGAGGTCAAAATAATTGAAAAAGCACTATAAGTTCAGTCCATTTACAATTTATCTTAACTTCCTGGTTTAGGTTTGGAAAGAGCAAAGGGAACATTTGGTCTTTGAGCTTCTTGGCCCAGTTGTGATGCCGTAGTTCTTGCATTGACAAATTTTGCCCTTCTGCCAGAGATGATTATTGTTTATCTGGCTTAAAGCAGATGCCACAACAAACTGTCACTGTGCTGACAGATACAATTTGAAGAAATATTAAAGATACATTGAAGCTGTAAAGGGATTTCTCAGTATAACAGGATCATCAGAACATGTTGGTTTGTAAGGAAAGCATTTATTAAGCTAACATTCCAACCTCAAAACAATCCATTTGCAGTGGAAACATGTAACACATGGATTCATAGAGAAGCCGAAGCTCAAATATGTTCAATTCTTCATAAAGCTCGCTGCCTGCCATAAGAGCTGATCTACAGTCTGCGTGGGGCTGCAGCTGCTTCCAGTGGCATCGAGTCATCATGCAGCTGAGAACGGACTGACATGCATGTTTTTTTTTTTTAATGAACAGACATCATGCACTCTGCTGTTTGACTCCAGGCCAGTCTTGATCTCAGCTGATCTCAGGAGTAAAAACCTTCCTTCTAAAAAAGTGGGACGAGAATCAAGAGTGAAGTTTACAACAGCCAGATCGAACGAGTGATCAGAAGAAATGGATGATCTGAGGCACTCTAGATTACAGAACGTGATGAGATCAGCCACATCCGTCCAGTTTCTACAGGCAAATAGAAAAAAAAGAAGAAAAAAACAAAAAACAAAGTGCAGAGTCAGCATTTCCACAGGGTTCCATCTGTTTGGGAAACAGCAGCTCTGTTTGTGTCCACCGTGCAGGAACATTATGAGCTACTTCATTTACATTCTTCAACGTAAGCAGCACTAAGTGGTGCTTGCAGTGCCACACAGGCGCTGCTCCCTCCCTGTACATAAGTAACACCCCCATCCCGCCCCACAGAGGCACTGAAGAACAATCGACAAGCTCACTGATGTGCAGCAGGCTTGACAGGGAGGCGCTTCCTTTTCTAACGACATTCAGTTCAAATGTTTCTAAATTGTGACATAAAACATGCCGAGGAAATGATCTGCATAGGTTCTCCAAGTGCTGCGTTGTTTCAGTTAAAGGGCGACAGAAGAGCAGCCTGCTGGGAAATAAACACTCCTCTACTGATGCACCAATCAGTTTCCAGTTGATGAGGATTTTTTTTTAAATGCATCACAACTGTCAGTCTACACATGGATTTTTTTCAGCTCAATAAAAATTAGAGACAAATATGTTGTTTTGCATACATGCATAACTAAGTCACTATGAAAAACCTCCAACACCTGTTTTTCCCCTCCCTTGTTTTTGTCACAATATTTAGAAAAATGAAATGAATCAGCAGTTCAGACCAAAACTGGTGACTCAGGAAAAGCCTGATAGGTGCATCTGTCTTTTTTCTGTTGGTACAGTGCTGCACATCAGCTATTTGCTTAAAAAGAAAGATTATTTTTGGTATCATATAATTGCTGTTTTTTTTTTTTTATTTTATTTGTGCTTTAAATTTGCCTGATTTAACTCTGGCTTTAAAGGATCTGTTTGCCTTGTTTACAGAACAAATATGCTAACCTGACAAACATGGGAAGAGGGAAACCATCTTGAACTAATGTTTAATTTAAAGAAAAAACAAACTCTTATTCTCGAGGTTTGTCATTAAAAGACCAAACAAACAGGCATCTAGCTTTTGTATAAGGAAGCAGGTGAGCTTCCTTTTAAAGCAGTGAAATATTTGAAACGATATTCTGAGTGAACGTTGATTCCTCCCCCATGTTTGGACAGCAGGATGAGATGTGCGCTCTCTCCCTCGCTGCTTGGTGGTTGAAGTGGGGGACTGGCGCTTTCATCAGGTGTCGGAACAGTTAACTGAAGTGAAACCATAAGAGTGGATCACGGGTCTGAATGGAAGCAGGGAACAGAACCAAACGAAATCAGAACGAAAAGGAGCTTTATGGAGCTGGGCCGGGCTGAGCCGCTTCAGGGCTGCTTCTCTTCCCCAGCTGCCTCCGCCTCTGCCTCCACCTGCACCTCCATGCTCTCCAGCAGGTTGACCTTCTCCTCCTCCGGCATCAGAGTGGCCGGGTTGATCTGGAAAATGTGCCTGTGGAACGGATCAGGAACGCCGTTAGAGGAGATCAACATTTTCTCCAGAATCTCTGGTTATTGTGGCTAATAACAAATGCTGTGTTTATTTTAGATTTATAGTAAATTTTTTTATGTGAAGAATGTAATATGCAATTAATTATTGACAGTGCAAAACATTTTCAGACAGAGCATTTTGTTCAGATAAAGATGTTTGTAAAAAGTTGAATCTGTTTTTGTATGCATAAAGTATTCAGACAATTACATTATGCCATAACTGAGCCTGTTGCAGTAAGCTATGGATCAACTAATTGCATGATAAATTAAAACAAGTTCAATAATTTTCATTTGCATTTTTTTCTCTTTTCTCTCTTCCTACTAAAAACTGGATGATAAAAGTCTCCAGTCTGGTGTTTTGGCCTCAGCCAGACTTTTGCTTTTAGGAAAAAATCATTTCTAGAAAACCTTACTAATTTTTTTTGTTCTTTTGATTATTTTGGGTATTTAAAATGTCTTCCAGTGTTAAATATTCAGTAGAATGCAAAGTTTATTGATGTTTGAGAATATGTTCTTGCATTATTATGCTGTTGACAAAGTTATTGTTTATTGCAATAACTTCTGGGACAATTAATCACCCAGTAAATATGTTATGTGACAGGCCTAGACATAAGTGGTTAAAAATATGATAAATTTTATGATAATTCAAGTGAAAACAAGTATGAAGATAAATTTTATTTGTTGGTCGACTAAAACTAGACTAAGTCAAATAGTTCTGATGACTTAATTATGACAAACTAAACAGCATGTCAGTCAACAAATCAAACTAAATCAGATCTTGCTGTCTTTGAGACTCACTTGTGTTCGCAGGCTGGGAAGAACAAGTCCAGGATCTTGACGATGAACGCCGATCCGGCCACACCGATCACAACCACCCACATGACCAGGAAGAAGAGGGGCAGCGACTCGTAGCAGAAGTGGCGCAGGCGCTCCCTGGCCTCCTCCACCCACTCACACATAACCTGAGGAGAGGATGGGCAGAGCAGAGGTCAGAGGTCAGGTGAGATGGTTAAACGCAGACTCTTCTAAAACAAAGTGAAAACTGAAGGTGCACCAGTCCAAACCGTTAGCTTAGAGCCGTTTTTAATAGATGCTGCAGAGTCACAAAGCCAGACTGTCAGTCAAAGTCCATCAAGTGTGACTTGATGGACTTTGACTGAGCTCCAGCCTGGACCCGTCTCAGTCCTTAGCCGTTCCAGGTTCACTTACCGAATACGATGATGTCACTTCCTTGGGTGGGCTGCTCATCTCATTCTGACCCGTCGGGCTCGGCTCCAGGTCGTCAAACTCATCCCCGTACGTGACGTCGGACAGCAGGTCGGGATCCATCCGCAGCGGCGTTTCGGGAAGCTTCCCTGGAGCCGCCGCCTCCTCCTGCGTGGTGTCAGAGTGGCGCTCTGTGTGGGGGTACTGGCTGGTGGTCTGGGACACCAGCTGCTCCTCGTCTGAGGTCAGGGTCACACATGAAAACAGGAGGAGGAGTCATGAGCTGCGTTTCCATTAATCATAGAATGGAGCAAACTGAAATTAAATTCACAAAATGGAAACATGGCAACTTAAAAAAAACTCATTGGTTGTTTTAGTGTGATCACGTGCGATTTTAATTTTATGTCTTATTTAGTGGAAATACCAAAGTTGCAAATTTGTCTTGTTTCGACATTAGCAGAATAGACAAAGCTTCGTGGACATTCGGTTAGAAAACAAACCTCTTCTGAAGTTGGGAGGATCCGTGACGACCACGTCGTTCTCTCTGGGGATCCTGAAGATCTCGCTGTGTCCGATGGGGTAGACGTTGGTGAACTGGGCCAGCTTCTGGAACTCTGGGCTCAGCAGGATTTTCACCTCACACATGTCAGGTTGGTGGACCTTCACGGCACAAAAGGAAAGGTCAGAGGTCACAGTCGGAGAAAATCGCCTCAACCTCATCTGGGAGCCAATCAGCTGGCTCCACCCAGGGTGGAAAAGGTAGAAGGAAGAGTTTACCTCTTTTCCATCCAACTCAATCACTTCACTGAACACCTGCAGGGCCACCACCTCGTCTGAGTCGCTGTACAGCCGGTTCTGGCTCACCATCACCCGGGTAACGGCTGACACCAGGTCCCCCGAGTCAAAGTCACTGGTCCCATTACTGTTGTCCACTGGAAGACACCGAGCAGACATTGACACACTTCTTACATCAACCAGATACTTGGTTTTAAAATGTTAAACAGTGTTTTACATTTCTTGTTTGGTGTTATGAATACTTCCTGGAGGATTTCACTGTTAGTAGATTTCCAAGGATGCACAAGAGAGTCTCCTCTCTGAAGTTCTACCGCTGCTTTATTAGTTTTATTTTAATGAAAAGATTTTTAGCAAGATGAATATTCAACACATATAGAAAGCAGGATCTTGTCATTAATAGCTCACAAAAAGAAAGTCGATTTGTTTGAAATCTGCACCAGCATGTCGGAGTTTCATACACAGACCAGACAGAGCTGCGTGTGGAAGGGAAGGGCTTTCCTCGGTTCACTCAATCACATTAAAGTTGCTTTTGTTTTGTTTTGCATCTTATGGTCAAACAAGTTAAAAACTGTTGGTCATGTTTGATTTGTGAAAGCAATAAGCCGTCCAACAGGGATGAATACCTGCAACTGTATCTGTTTATATGACAGTAGATGAGATGCTAAAGTTTATAGAGAGGTGGCAACATCTGGAAAAAAAAAAAAAAAAGATTTCCAAAGAGATATTATCTGAAAGAGTAAAAAAAAAACAGACATGGCCCATTAAGAAGCCAGTTATAGAGATTACAGGAAGAAAAAACTAAAGGGCGGATCATTTAGCTTCAGTTAGCTGTCAGTGAAGGGACTCACAGAGAAGAGCCTGGCAGTTGAACCGAGTGACACCTGAAAGCTCCACCGGGATCTCATTGACCAGCACCTGCTCTTCACCCACTGATATGTTTAAATTTATCTGAAAACAACAACAACAACAAAAACTGATTAGTGAGTCATGAGCTTCCCTCCTGATTTCCCAGAAAGAGGGAATTTTGGGAATGGTTCCCGGCGTGGCCATGAATGTACCTGTAAGCTGTTGGACTGCTGCAGCTCGGTGTCTGTCAGGGTTCCTGCTGTTACGTTAATCAGGATATTTTCCTGCGAGGAAAACAACTCTGTGAGAAATAAGAACAGAAAACACCTGAACGCCTCACTGCCACATTCTAACGGAAAGACTAACAGCGAGGCTAACACCGAACAAAACACCTTTTTTTTTCCTTACCGTGTTTAGTTGCTTTGTCGTCGACTCGGCGACAAACAGAAGAACAATTAAACAAACAGTGGGACTCGCCATCTCCGCTTTTAGTCCTCTTCTATCAAAAACAAGAGTCGGGAAAAACCGTTGCGCACACCTACGAACTGCGCAGGCGTACGGAATGTTCTGTTGTTTTTCTCGCGAGAAGTGGAAACGTCAGTATGGCGGTGCTCCTTGAAACAACGCTGGGGGATATTGTAATCGATTTGTTCACTGAGGAAAGACCTAAAAGTAAGACTACAATGTTACAGTGTCCCAGAACTATTTGTCAGCATATGATCTGGTTCAAGTTATGAACGTGACATAAGAGAGCTTATGGACAGAATATGGCGGTGTTAGCTTCGGTGGTTAGCTAGTCTGTTGTCTGTTTCATTCAGCTTTTGTTTTACCTTGTTCCAGAATTACTCTAATTGAACTGCAGTGTTACAACTGCAGCAGTTGTAACACGTTAGGTCATATCTTACTTCCAAATACAAAATGTTTTTTATGTTACCAATGGTGCATCTAAATATTTGTGCTCTCTTTCAGGCACCCTAAATTTCCTGAAATTATGCAAAATAAAATACTACAATTACTGCCTCATCCACAATGTGCAGGTAATGCTAACTTGTCTTATTTCAAACTGTCTTCTCTATCAATTTCTTCTTATTTTTGCTCACTCTGTACTGTTTCAGCGAGCCTCCACTGGAGGGCGCCAAACGCCAAGCTTACATTCAGAGCTACCATTGACATTCACACAGCTGTGGAAGGATTTTAATGTTTCATTCTTTTATCAAACGCAGTATAGCAGATTAACCAAAGTAAAACAGACATCACATACATTTTTCATCACAATTTAATCTAAAAGCAGAACATTCTGGCTACTCGAAATCTTAAATGGTAATAATTAATTTCATGTCAAAGTCATACACTTACTTACCTGTTTCAAAATTCCTTAGTCTGTCTAAAATTCTGTCTACTGGACTGAGATTGCTACTAACTTTGCGTAACATTTGGAGCAAGTTTAAAAAAAAAAAAGTCCCATAAAAACCAGAAATATTTGAAGTGTTATTCTACATTCATGTTTGCTGATGAAGTGTGTGATATATTGGTGTGTTTTTCTCAGAGGGACTTCATCGTGCAGACTGGAGATCCTACTGGAACTGGCCGGGGAGGAGAATCTGTCTTCTGGTCAGTCAGTAATACGGTTTCAGTTGTTTGGGAATCGGGCGGCGCGCTGAAAACCTGTCTGTTCTCCGGATCCACAGCAAGCTGTACGGAGACCAGGCACGCTTCTTTGACGCTGAGAAAGCACCGCGCATCAAGCACAAGAAGAAGGGGACGGTTTCCATGGTGAACAACGGAAATGACCAACACGGCTCTCAGGTGAATGAGAAGAGAGCTTTTCGAAACCTGACATATTCTTCTTTTTTTAGGACAGGAATGTAAAAAAACACGTAAATGCACCCATCATATGTGCAACCGGAATAATTAGTTTCTTCTTAGTTCCTCATCACAACCGGGGAGAACCTGGACTACCTGGACGGAGTCCACACCGTGTTTGGAGAGGTCACAGAAGGGTTGGACATCCTAACCAAGATCAACGAGGTTTTTGTGGACAAGGATTTTGTCCCGTTTCAGGACATCAGGTAAACGGGAACCCTGAGTTCATGTCACACTTACACATTTACTGGGCTTCCTTAGAGAAGAGCTTTTTAGATTTCTTTTTAAAATTCATTTAGCTCACTGTACTGTTTGATAACTAAGGTCAGTTGGAATATATGTATGAATGAATTTAAATGTTTTGTTTTTGCAAGGTGGATTGATAGTACATTTGTTGTGAATCTGACTTATGTTCCACCTACCAACTATCTTTTGTCCAGTTCTTAGTACAAATATCTTAGATATGAACTTATTTCAATCATTACTTCCTTAATTTATTAGTTCCATCAGCAGATTTCTAACCCTTACAGCCTGGTCAAATGTTTTTCTTACTTTATTATCCTGATTTGTTTTATTTTTACGGTTTGATCATGAGACGTTGCTGTTGTGTTGCTGCAGGATAAACCACACCGTGGTGCTGGACGATCCGTTCGACGACCCTGCTGATCTGCCGATTCCCGATCGATCGCCTGAGCCCACCAAGGAGCAGCTGGATGTGAGAGCAGCCGCGCTCATTGTCACCAGAGCGACGGGGCGGCTCAGAGACGCTCAGGCAGACGTAGATGCTTTGAGTAGTTTGGGTGAATCAGCGTTTGTATTTGCAGAGCGGTCGAATCGGAGCGGACGAAGTGATCGACGATGCGGACGGGAAAGGAGCCGAGGAGTTGGAGGAGAGGCTGAGGGAGAAGGAAGCCAAGACTCAGGCCATCCTGCTGGAGATGGTGAGACACACGTCTGCTCTCAGTCCTCTGGTTGGGGGACACAATGAAGACACACTGAGTGTCCCTGCAGGTTGGGGACCTCCCGGACGCAGACGTGAAGCCTCCTGAGAACGTTTTGTTTGTGTGCAAACTCAACCCAGTCACCACAGACGAGGACCTGGAGATCATCTTTTCACGTTTTGGCTCCATAAAAAGGTCAGGATTCTTACTTTTGTCAGATACATCTTTGTTTATTTTTTATAGATTTTTGCCTGAACATTTTGTAGTCATTGTTTGTTTGTTTTTTACGTTACCAGAACAATTGTTTTTGTCTTTTCCTTTCTATGTAGTTGTGAGATCATCAGAGACTTTAAAACGGGAGATTCCCTCTGCTACGCTTTCATTGAGTTTGAGAAGGTGAGCAGCATCATCTCTATACACCAATAATAGAGCCTTTTACAATAAGTATGACCTCCTTTTGTCACTGTAAGCAGCCCTGACCTAAGACCTGTGATGTTCAGTGGCTCTGAGGGGTGGTACCATACTAAAAATCTGTCCATTCATCCATCCATCTGTTCTGTCCATCCTTTCTTTCAGTAGCATGTCAGCACAGCCCTAAAATCTCTTGGATTTTTTTTTCTTGCAGGCAAAAATTTGAGTTGTGCTCAGACATCTGTGTTGTGTTCTGTGACTTGAAGCGGTTGAGGCTAACTCACTGCTAACATGCCCCAGCCAGCTGGCTATTTCTTTTCTTTTTTTTTTTGCGTAAATGCAAATTGCATCCAGTTACAGGATGTTTGTTTTGCCACCGTCTCACTTCTCTTGCCAAACTGTCAAAGCCAGCAGGGTCTTCCGATATTTATTGTTTTTTTCAGTCTTAAATTAGCAATAAATGACATGATAATTGAAAATGAGTGCAATAATTTTCATTCACAGGCTTCTTTCTGTAGTTTGCTTCATCTTTAGAAAGATACTGTCCTTTGATATTATTGAAAAACCTGCATTTCAAAAAACACTGCTGACAACAGTTTGCACATTTCAGATTCACATTATTTTGGTAAATTAATAACATTACAAAAAGAAAACAAAAACATAATACTGCTTTTTCTTCACGTGCCTTTTGCACATGAAGAAACACAAACTGATAACATCTTGTGTGTATAATATATAAATATATACTCCAGTTTTTATAAGGGAAATAACAGCAGGTGGAAAAACCCTGCAGGATGCAAAGTCTGGAAATCAGTCATAAACTCAGTTTGCTCTGTTTACAACATGTTGATTTTGATCCCATCAGATTGTTGGAGTCATTATGACAGAGGAGGGAAAGTGAAGCAGATAAAGGAGGTCTCACATAAAGGCTTACTGTCACTGCTGTGCTTCAGAGCCGCTGCAGTGGAGAAATAAGAGCCAATAAGTTGGAAGCATAAAACCTGTCCTACACTGTTGGTTAGGTCAGATATGTAAGATAATAGGGGAGATCATATTTGCATGGTTTGTTTTTCAGATGTGAACTGTGTGAACTTTTCATCTGGGTGAATAACGGGGCTGCAGGAATTTCATTGCAAATCACAAACAGGATCAAGGCTCTGAAGGAGCTGAAGTGCAATGCATTGTGCAACCAGTAGAGGATGCTACATTTTTAGGTTGATGTTGCCTTTCATGCTTAGCCAGTGGTGTGCAGCGCACCAAACGGTTCTTGTAAAGAAGCCAGAAAAAGCTGACTCCTTGAAAATGAAAGATAAGAGAGGAGCTGGGGGTTTTCCACAGCACATTAAAACGGAGCAGAAAGTTCCTGCTTCCACATGAAATCCATGTTTTTATTCCGGGTTCCTGAACTTGGCAGCTGGTATCATATTCCTCCTCATATGGGCATCTAGTTAAATCAGCTTTTGGCTTTCCTTTAGCTTTTGTGTGAAGACATTTAAGAGCTTGCGTGTCATTTAATATCTGGAACATTTGGAGAGAACAGTCAGTGTCCATTCAGCAGGTGCATAGGGCGGGTAGTTCGTGTGAGGTCTGCTGTTATTGGTCAAATTAGAGCTGAGTTTTTGATCACATTGTTTTTTTACATTGAACTTTACAATATATAAACCTGTTCTCTTGACAGCAAGAAGACTGTGAGAAGGCTTACTTCAAAATGGACAACGTGCTGATTGATGACCGACGGATCCATGTGGACTTCAGCCAGTCGGTCGCAAAGATCAAATGGAAAGGGAAAGGTAGCCATGTTGGTCCCGAGGCTGGACTTTTAATAACAATAGTAATAATCCATTTTTTCACATAGCGCCTTTTCATGTACTCAACAATACAATAAAATAAAACAATGTAACGTAATAGAAAAACGTACTAAAAGGTTAGATAATATGTTCCACTTAGTTTGTGGGAGCGACAGCAATGTTCCTCCGTTTCATATTGTTTCTTTTATGTTACAGGGATAGCTCTGTGTTTTTGAAATGAATTTCTTTTAAGTTCATATCTGCTCTGCATTTCTCATAAATTTAGACTAGCTGGTCCCAGAGGCTAAAGCTAAGAGCTAGTCAGAAAGAAGCCAGGATCAAAGCAAACCTCTGCTGACCTAAAACAACACCAGAGTAATGACCCCCAGCGAAAACATAACGCCACCACTGACAAGCTTAGAAAAGCTATATATCTGCAAAATTGTGATAAAAATGTCACAATTTGTGCAGAAACGTAAAGATGCAACCCTTCTTGCCCTTTAAGAATCATGAATATAAATTGCGTGAACATCCAATCCAAACCATCATCAGG